GATGAAAAGGTGTAGTATCTACTCTCAAGGAACTCATATATATGACAGATAGATAGACAACCATTATAACACAAATCTGGTCAGGACATTACCCTGCTTTCAATTCTTTGGCTTCCCAGGTCCTCGGAAATCTGGCCTTGCGACCCCTTGAGGTGGAGAAACATTCATTTCTACTCTCTCTCCTTCAGTCACACAGAACTCATTTTCAGTTTCCTAAACATGGCATGGTTTGGCTCAGGTCTGAGCCTTCTTTCATTCTATTCTCTGAGGCAGTATTATGATGTTTACTGATTCCTAAACTCTGTTTCAAATATAATTCAAAACAGTTTTATTTTTTATTTATATTAAAATTAAAATAGCTTTTTATCCTAGATTTTCTGATTTGCAGATTGTGGATAAATTAATGGAAGCTTAACTCTGTAGGGTTTTTTATCCTTTTTTAATTTTTCTTTTTAGTTTCCCTACTTTGCAGTGCCCTAATTTGGTCCTCAGTCCGCCAAGCAGATGAAACACCACAGCTGTTGACTGTGCCTGGAATATTTCCTTAACCTTCTGTCATCCCCTCACCCTACTCTACTCTCCTGCCCTCATTACTAGCTCCCCTGACAAAACCCTTTTCACTCACTCAGATCTCATATTATCGATTACATTTGGTTAGCCTCCCTTGATCACACGGGCTAAATTGTCCCAGCACCTAGGTGATCTATACCAGCACTTCACAAATATGAACAGCACATTAATGCTCTAGGTATCTTGCAAAAGTGCAGGTTCTAATTCAGAAGATCTAATTTTCTTTTCATTTCCAACAAGTTTCCAGGCGATGCTAACATTATTGGTTCTTCAATAGCAAAGATCTCTGTGAATACCACTTATAGAGTAATTATAACACAGTATTTTAATTTCCCATTTACTTATTTGTATCCCCCACTAGACTTCAAACTGTGTAATATTTGGGGTGATACCTATTGTGTTCACTGTTATACCCTCAGGATCTTGTTCAATGCCAGATATATGTAGATTATACGATATTTCTTTTAATAAATGAATTAAGAACTATAATGAAGGCATGTGCAACAAGATATAGTGGGAGCAGAGAGGAATGGAATAAATAGGAATATTAGGAATAGCCAGAAGTTCACAGGGAGAGGTAAGGATGAGTGACATTTCTATACACACCAAAATTGAATGGTGAGTGTTGGCCATATCAACATGGTAGGAAAACTGCTAAATCCAACATGGCTGGATCCAGGAAAAGACGTGAATGAGACTTTTATCAGAACGTGGAGGGCTAGTAGGTGATATGGAGTTTTAATAACTTTTCTAAACAGCAGTATAAACAAAATGGTTTTTGACATAGTGTCTTAATCTATTTCCTCGTGCTCTAACACAATACCAAATACTAGGTAATTTATGAAGGAAAGAAGTATATTTAGCTCACAGTTCTGGAGGCTAGGAAATTCAAAAGCATGGTGCCAGCATCTGGAGAGAGGTTTTGTGCTGTCATTACATAGTGGAGGGCATCACATGGCAAAAGGGCAAGGGCATGTGTGTCAGCCCAGATCTCTTTTTCTTGTTATAAATCCACCAGTCCCATCATGATGATCTTATCTAATCCTACTTATCTCCCAAAAGTTTCATATCTAATCAAGATATGAATTTGGGAATTAAATTTCCAACATGGGACACATATTCAAACAGTAACATGCAGCAACCTGTTTTTGTTGCTGTTGTTATCGTTTGTTCTCTTGTAAGTTTATTTCTACAATTTCAATACATTAACCTTGTATTACCTGGTTTGCCTCTGACCTCTTGCTCCTGTATCAAATTCTGTTTCTTTTATATCCTAAACTGTTTGCTCCTTGTACTAGTCTTAGCCCTGAAACTTGTTTTTCTATTTCCTGATCAAGCATGACCATCCACTTGAGCTGCTATATGCACAAATTTTAAAGGTTGCATAACATCCCAGGACTGGGTATAAATGCTTTATATATTCTGTATCACTGAGAATTTTTATCTATATTTTTACCACTGTAAATAATGGGGCAATAAATTTTCCTGTACATAAAATACGTGCATTTCTGATATCTTCCTTTCAATAAAGTTTTAGAAATGGAATATTATGGACATTTTAGGACAATAAAATATACTGGAAAATCTGCTTCCAGAAAGTTCATGCAAACATTGTAAAACAATGCCTAGTCCACTGTAACACAGCAACACAACACTGTGTATTATGTGTTTTAAAAAACATTTGCTGATTTGATAGGCAAGAATATTTTACTGTTTACTGTAGTAAAATGTCGACAGTCAATAAATGAGACTTATTTCAAGTTCCTAGTGCAGAGTTTTCCTGTCTCCAATTTGGTACTTCCCATTTGGATTACCAAGTTTCAGAAACATTAGTATGAAGTCAAATGACATCACAGACTATGATATGTTTCCTGGATTCAATGGTGTTAATATTAATGTACCAACAAGGTGTGTTGCTATGTAATTTCATGGAGGAACATTGAACTGGAATTTTCAGAAAGTTTAATTAAATTACCAACTACTGTTCTGCTAGGCTGGCAGGAGAATAGGGCAGTGAGAAGAGCCATATTTTGAAGTATGTGTACCAGTGTGTGTATTGGTGCTTTGACCAGTATGCACACTAGTTTCATTTTCATGTACTAAGCTCTGGCACAAAATTTACATGATACCACTATAGTAACTTTATTTTTCTTACAAGAGTAACATTCTTTCAACCATAAGAATAAAAATATGTGACTATTCCAAAACAGTTTCTGAGACTAATGGGAAAAGAGTCACAGCCCTAGAATTTGCCCAACTTGGTAGGCAAAGTGTTTTCAAAGGTCTCAAGAAATTTACTGTGAGGAAACACAACAGTAAAAAACCTTTATGTGCAAGGTATAAGCATGCACAAGTGACAACCTGTTAACATTCGGTTTGGCGCATCAGCATGCATGAAGGCTTTTGGGTGTAGACGACTCGAATTGAAAGTAGTGGTGGATGGATGGTCATGTGAAGGCTTGAGTTTTGAAAACTGAAAGGGTGTCAGATAGCCCAGGCTTTGAATACTGGTTGTGCCATTTATAACTGAGAAACCTAACTAAGTTACTTAAACTCTAACTTTTGGTTTAAACATAGTTTAAGACATAAATAAAACTAATAATGGATTCTTCTACCGAATTTATTATTGCAGAGTTGTGTAAGTCAAAAGTTGACATGGATCTCACTGAGCTAAAATCAAGGAATCACCAGGCTGCATTTCTTTATAGAGGGGATAGGGAAACATCAATTCTCTTATTTTCTCCTCTGGAGGCTTCCCACATTCCTTGGCTTGTGGCCTCCTTCTGCCATCTTTGAAGCCAGCAACAGTGGATCAAATCCTTCTCATGCTGCCATCTCTTTCATTCTCCACTTTTAAAGACTCATGTGAATATATTGGGTCCACCCAGCTAATCCATCTAATCTCGCCATCTCAAGTTATTTAACTTTAATCACATCTGCAAAGTCCCTTTACAATGTAAGGTGACATATTCACAGATTCCAGGCATTGAGACATAGATATCTTTGGGGGCCATTATCCTGCCTATCGCAAACACTTGGCATAGTATCGTGGATGTAGAATGCATAATAAAATATTACTGTTCTTGTTATTTATTGTTTTTATTACATTATGAAGAAGAAAATCACTCAGGCCATCACATTTTCAGTAGTGAAACAGACTTGATAGTGGGGAGGAGATAATATCGGAAGCAGGGAGAATGGTTAGGAAACTACTGAAATTACTCAAGTGAGAGATAATTGTGACTTAAATAAAGGTGACATTTCTGGAGATGATAAAGAGTGATCAATTTCTGGTTGTATTTTTCAAAGAGATTGACAAAATTTACTGATGGATTAAATGCAGGATGTAAGAGACAGAAACCGAGAATGAACCAAGCCCCACATGCCCAAAGAGTGGTCCAAAATTGGTGGGACTATCTAAGGATTTAAAGAGGCCATTAAGTAGACAAGATGGACAACTTAGAGCAATCTATGTATTCTATTTATTAAAGACTAATGAGAGCAATAGTAACCTGACAGAAGGTGACATCAATCACCCATCTACCCATAATTTTTCTTGATATAATACAAGATTTTCAAAATTTGACTACAAGTAGGGAGAACCCCAAATTATTGTGACTGATTCTCTTTAACCTGGTAGGTTGGGACTTCAAAATATAAAACAGGTCAAGATTACAAAAAATAAATGAAACTGTATTTTATGCACAACTAAGTTGTGAACTAAGACTTTTACCTACTGTATTCACCAAACATTTGGTTCATGCCTCTAGGATAACCTTATCATAGGTTAACATGTAATTATTGGTTAACCTATCTTCTACACTAAAATCCTAAACAGTAAGAATTATGGTGTATTCTTTAAAAAAAACTCTATCACTGAGCATAATGTTTAGAATATGGGACATTCTTATGAAATATTTACTGGATCTATGTATGGATGACTAAATGAATTATTTTTTATCTATAAGAGAAAGACTGCTGCTGCAAAGAACCACAAGCAGGCTAATGAAACCATGCTGCTGTGAATAACAATAGATACTGAGGAGTTAAGGGCTGGAGTTGGACTCTCACTCATAATAGGAGATGCCATTTAGCAATTTGATACAATATTTTGTCTTTTAAAATCTCCTTCAGAGTGACTGCTAGTGATTATGAGGTTCCTTTTAAGGGTAATGAAAATGTTCTAAAATTGAATTGTGATGATGTTTTTTGCACAGTTCTGTGACTTTACTAAAAACAATTGAATCATACGCTATAAATGGGTGAATTTTATAGTATGTGAATTATATATCAATAAAGCTGTTAAATAAAAAAGCTTTTGAGTAAATGACACATGAACAAAAAGTTACATCAGCCCATAAAGCACATAGCCACCATAAGTAATTGCATAATGAAACGGATATAAAAGGACTATATGAGGCAAAAGAAGTCTTCTGGGAATCTCCACACCCTGAAGACACAGTGAGTTAGTAGCACCACCACCAGGAACTGGCCTCTCAGCTCTGTGCCTGTCTCCAATCAGGCTGGAATAAGTCTCCTCATATTTGAAAGCTTGGCCCTCCCCTGGAATCTAAAGCCTCTCAGCCTTCTGAGTCAGCCTGAAAGGAACAGGCCGGACTGCTGTATGGGCTCTGTAAGTAAAACTGTTTTGTTCAATGAAAATGCTTGACTCTAGATGAATTGGACTTTCTCACCCACAGGGAATAATTTCTTCACAATGTGCAGAATTAGATTAGATGTTGGGATGGTGGGCTGAGGAGGATGGTAGAATTTGCAGAATTATTTATTCTCAGGAAATATGTAGAGAATGGGTATTTTGTTCTGCCTGATACAGATTGGATAACTTGTTTTTCATCAAATGGTTTAATCAGTGTGCTAATATATTTATCACAGTCAGTGAATCTCATTTCTATGCCCAATAACTATTACTAAAAATGAAAAATTACCAATTTCGAGCACATTGCATGCCAGCTACTGGTATTAGACACAGTCCATATCCTGTCTTATAGATGAGGAAACTGGATCACAGAACGTTTGTATTATTTGTAGATTTCTGTAAAACAATTGTTTTTGAGAGCATGAGCTTTGGAATTAAAAACACTTGGGTTAAAAATTCAGCTCTGACTTTCACTAGTTTTGTGTGATTTCAAATATGTTTCAGAACTTCTGATACTCAGAGTCTTTACCAGAAAAATTAATTTAAAGTGAATCTAATAATACTTGTCGCATGATGATATAGTAAGGTTTAAAATAATGCTTATAAAGCACTGAGGACAATAATGTTCACAAAACAAGTGTCCAGTAAATGGTAGCTATTTCTATGAGTAATATTTTTATTAATGGTGTAGATGGTCTCAAAACTAGTTAGTGTTTGAGCAATATTTTTATTAATGGTGTAGATGGTCTCAAAACTAGTTAGTGTTTGAGCTAGAATCTGAACCCAGGTCAGTTACACACGATAGCCATACCATTGCCAATAGCATGGAGAATACTGATGACACTATACGGTCTAGTTCAGCAGATTAAGAGAGCCACAAGCTATAGCTTATAATAGTGCAGTGAAAGAAGAGTATCATCATAATCTGAGTGGGCAGGAAAATTAGTTGAGAGAATACACCTTATTTCGCAAGAGAGAAAATGAAGGTATGTATGAATTGCAGAGGATGGGTTGGAAAGATTTGAGAGTGAAGGCAGCACAAAAGAGAAGCTTGGGGGAAATTTAGTGCCTCCTTCTAAGAATATTCATTAGTCCCCCTCTAGTCTTGGAGATAAACACTTAAGATTTTTTCAATGTAAGAAAAACACAATGAAATAATAGCTTCAAATACCCACTACTAACAATTGCTTGGCCTTCTTATATAGACCTCCCAAGGTTCTCATTCTTTGCATTTCAGGAGTAGAATCAATTAAAAACTAATCTTTGTATGTAAGAGATGAGAGAGAGAAAGACGAGGGTGTGTGTGTGCACACATGTGTGTGTATATGGTGGGTAGTAATTTTAATTCAGTGATTTACTAGAGTTCGATGTCATTTGCTGATAAATGAAGCAGGAGGAAGAGCCAAGTTTGGAAGGGAGGAGAGAATGAGTTCTATTTGTCTCATACAGAGGTTGAAGTAACTGAGTGATGATGGGTGAAGATGTCCCTCAGGGGTTGCCATAGTATTTTATTTACCTTTTATTCACCACGTGAAACATGGAGCTTTGTTCTCCAAAGTGCTATCAATTATGTTTCTAAATTACAGGTTTGATTGCTTCACTGTATTTTCACATTTCATTACTACCTTTACACTTAAAACCAGAAACTTTGCCACAGCATTAAAGATTCCGCTAACTTTTAAAACATAGAACTCTGGAGATGCCATAATTAGATTGCAGATTTATGAGTCTTCTGGATATAAGTGCTATTTAAAGCCATGAGAATAACCAAGATATCTCAAGGAGAGCATATGAAAAGCAAGAAAAGAAGAAATACTTCTTGGGAGAAAAGCAGACTCCTCTAGACTCCCACAATTTATAAGGCAGAGAACAAAATCATTGTTTGACAAACAGAAAAAAAGAAAAAAAACACCTCACAGAATAACCATCATTGAAGCTAATGAAGGAGAAAGTTTCAAGGAGGAGGAGGTAAACATTGCCAAAAGTTGAGATGAGGGAGAGAAAAACAAATCTGAGATTAAACTTTTGGACTTGGCATGTAGAAAATCACGGGTGACATCATTTGGAGGATTTTCAGAGTCATTAGGGAAAGAATTCAGATTGTTACTGAAGGTGCAGGAATAATAAACAAAAGCGGATTGTTCTCCAAAGGAATTTTTATCCTTATAAAAGATACAGCAGGAAATTGAGAAAGAAACAGGGTTTATGTCTTGTATCCCTCACTATCACTATCAAAGCACAAGGCTAATTATGAAAACTATTCAATATATCCTGGTTGAAATGAATGGTTTGGAAATATCTATATAAAACTGTGGGAAGCTTTTATTGTTGAGTTAGAGTAAAACTTGAGTATTGCAGACTGCAAAAAAACAATCAATGGTACTAAACAAGATACTAAAGAGGGAAAGGAATTTTGTTGGCATTAAATGAGAAGAGATGGAAAATGATTTATTTATTAAAAGCAAAGCTCCTTGCTTCCAGTGGTCAATAAAAGGTGAATAAAATGTTTAGAAATGTCTGGCTCTTGATGCTCTGCAAAAATGTAAGTTCATTACACTTTCCACGGAATTCAAGATTTTCATGATTTGACCTCTGGTGCTTTCTCTAGCTTCATTTCCCACAGCACCTAGCCTCACATTTAAGACTTTGATACACCCCTTCTCTTGTAGTTATCCAACAAACTGCCTTATGTTATTCTTTCATTCATGTCTCTCCTCATGTTATCGATGGCACTGCAAAAGCACACTTCTGTTTTTCATCTTTATAAACTCACATCTACCCATCAAAACTTCACACAGTTATAAGTCGTACAGTCTGTTAAAATTCTTGGAACTGGCTCTTCTTGACACTAACAGACACATTCATGTATGCACACACTCCAAATCTGCCACTCCACACTATTATCTCTTCTGTCTTATCTGTTAGATACAACCTATCCTTATACACTCTACAACTAGTAGCATTTATCTGTTTGTCTGTTTGTCTCTGACACTGCTGATATACACTGTCTGGCATGTAGTGGATTTTTTTATTTTCAGTAAGAGTCCCTAGACTCTTGACACAGCAAACTCGGCTCCCTGTATATGTATACATATAGTTCAGTTCAGTTTGAACTGAACCAAGTGTTCATGGTTGATAGTCAGGAGCTAAAGTGGAGTTATTGGCTATGAAAAAGAATAAGGTACCCTCTTGTCTCTGAGCCCAGAGTGAATGTAGGAAGGGTGCAAGAAGATATGGTTGTAGAGTGATGGAAAGGAGAGAAATCATTTCTTTTTTGCTGGGCCCAATGCAGATCAGGTCAAACTATATACACTATGGTTTTCTTTTGTTTTGTTTATGATCTCTCAGCAAGAAGGAGGAAAAAACTGCCAAGAAGAATGAAAATAGGCAATGAATAAATTGTTTAAATGAAGTAATGGGAACCGTGAAGAAGTTAGGATGAAAGAGAAATTATTCAAATAGCAATTTAATTTTTTAAAGTGGTTACATAAAATTTCCTACAACACAATGACAAAAATTACAACTCAGACATTGCATGGGAATTAAAAATCATGAAAGCCTGAATTAATTGACATAAATAGAGCCCCTCTGTACTTTCATAACCATTTTTATTATTCATCAATGTATATGAGATATTGAAGTTACTGAACAACGGTTCTGCTCTCTCTCTCTCTCACTGGATTATAAACTCTCTAAGAGGGGTTTTATTTGTGTTGTCCTTTAGCTTCTAACATAGCACTATGTAAGATCCAGATACTCAGTTAATGTCCCCTAGAAAGTAAAACAAGATCAAGAGAAGAAGTGTTACAAGTGCATTACTGCTCAACACTTCTACACAGGCCATTCTGAAAGCCTGGGAATTCTTCATCTCAACTTATATAAAACGCAGAAATCTTTCAAGCACTGGTTTTTCTAGAAAGCCTTCTCCAAATTCGACAAACCTACTGAATGCTCTCTTTCTGTTAATTCCGTTTTAGTGTGTTTTGGTTTTTAAAAATTATTTTATCATATTTCTAGTTGACAAATAATATGGTATATATTTGTGGGGTAAAATGTGATGTTGTAATACACGTATGCATTGAGGAATGATCAAATCAGGCTAATTATCATATCCATCACCTCAAATATTTATCATTTCTTTGTGGTGAGAACATTTAAAATTCTCTCTTTTTGTTTTCTTGGAAATATACTATACATTAACTATAATTCTTATTTCTCTAAGAGGTTTGATCATACATTTTAGATATTTTCATCACTTTCCTGAGGACATGTTATTCCAGAATCTAAAGCTATAGTTTCATTATTTGGCCAAATCATGTAACCTAAAATTTCTTATTGTTCCTCTAGTTTTCTGTTAATTTTAGTTAAATTCCTACCCTTTTTTTCACTAAGACTTCTTTCGGTGATCCTTGAGGTGGCACTTGATCAGGGTGAATGTGTGAGTCTGGATACGTTGAGGTTCCTCTCCATCCTCTCTTTTATCAACACTTACTGTCAGCCACCCAGCACCCTTTCTTTTCCCCTGAAGAATAGTTACCCTGCAACTAGCTATCTCTCATTGATTGAGCCCTCTGCAGCCAAAGCCCTAATCTCTGATTTTCCCTTGACCCCCATCTTCAACTCACCCATACCCATCTACCTTTCTGCAATTCCGTACTCAATGAAAAAAGAAATGTGATGTTTGCAATAAAGTTATACTTTTCCCTCCCGAAACAAAACAGTAACATTCCATTAGTTATCTCCTAAGAAGTATATCTTAACAAAATAGAGAGATTCTGTTCTGGAGAACTAGTCTTCAAGTGGACTGAAGAGAGAACTGTGTTGGAAGGTGGCAGCACACTCTATCAGGTGGGGGCCGCCTCCTGTCTTCCTAAGCCTGGTGGGAGGTCTGTATTCTAATTCACCATCTCTTCCAAATGTGACACCAGGTATCACATTGTAAGGGTTTAGTTAATAGTTAGATGCTGAAGCCATTT